GGGGGGGGGGGGGGGGGGAATATTTATTAAATATAAAGACCATTATTAGATCGTGTATTTTTATGTAATTACTACATTAAGTTACGAAGATTAAAGGAAACGTGTTTTCCCGAGCGCACGCTTAGAATCTCAAACAGAAGTGTATGAAATACAAGAATTGACAGTAACTTGCTGGTGGTAAGAAAGGCTGGCAGGTGCTTCTGCACTTTGTGTGGTTTGGAATACATCCTCCTCTGTTTCAATTTAGACGAGGTACTTTGACTCGGTACGAAATTTTAAAAAAAAAAACTTTTAAAACTTGTTATGTTTAAAGCTTAAGGGATAAAAGCTTTATGGGGCTATGATATTTGTGTGATTATAAAAGCTTTTCATTAAGGATAAAATAGATAAAATGAAGAGTTTAAAGTTAAATTATTTCTAAATTTAGAAATGCACATTTATTTTGAAACAGAGAAATAAAGAAAGTACCTCGTCTAATTTGAAATAGAGGTATGCATTCTATTTATCGATTCGATTTTGACCCTTATCGATAATTACTTATCGATTATCGATTTGTACATATGCTTATCGTTATCGTTTCAATTTTGATTTCGATTTATCGATTTTGGGGGCTTATCGATTCGGTTATCGATTACACCAATAAGAAAATTTGCGGGATTCTACGGAAAATATATCGCTATAAACACGTCTAACTAATATGAACCAAAAGAAGCTAAAATAAGACGAACACCGTTTATAACATAAAAATTGTGTCAACAAGCACATGCAACGAAACTAAAGTAAGGGATCAAATGTGTGCCACCAACACTCCAACGGTATAAAAAAAAATACATCATCACGGCTAATTCAATTTTCAATTAATTTGAACTTCATTCCCTTGAGCTTTAAATATGATCATTCCTTAAATGTGATAGATGAAATAATAGGGTTAGGGACTTAGGGTAAAGGAAAGGGTATTATACAATAAGGATAAAAAAAAATTTAAAAAAAATTTTTTTTTTTTTTTAGTATTTCTTATCGGTTTACCGATAAACCGATAATCGAAGAGGACAAAATCGAAATCGAAATCGATAGCTCGATAAGGAAAATTTCGAAATCGATAAATCGATAAACCGTTAACAAATAATCGATTCAATTTATGGATAAACCGATTCGAATGCACCCCTAATTTGAAATGAAGGTAGTAATATTTTGTCTGTTGTGTCATTATAAGAGCCGAGTATGCGGTGACCGTGTTTTTCGCACACTTCACAAATTTTGACACAGCTTAAGAAAAATATTTAATAGCATTGGTCTTAAAGGGTATTCCATTAAATTACTCTTATTTTTTCTTTAAATGGGTGATTAATTATTACATGCCTTTTTGGAAGAGCAATAAATGTCTTCTTGGTTTATATAGTGACAATATTCTGAACCAAATTTTGTTGGCTAAAGTGATAAATAAAAAATCACATGAAGTATTTACGATACATGTTAAATATTGGAGTAGGATTTTTGCACAGCACTTAGAAGATATTTAATAATCTTACTTACATGAGTATTCGTCTACAATATTATTTATTTTGTCTTAAATTTACTCCTGGAAACAGTAAGAGTATATATGCAAAAAAGAATGTAATAAGTAAATTTTTAATTTTCTTTCTAAGAAATTAATATATTTTGAATCAAATTTAGTTTACAACTACAACAAATATTTTAACTGAAAAATAGGAGTAGTAATTGTAAATGCTCGTGCATAAAAATATTTACAGTGGAAAGAGAGTAAGATTTTTGACATTTTTTCTATCCGAAAGTCTATCGAAAATAATTTTTTTTATCTTAACAAGATAAAAATAAAATTAATGAAAATACTATCCTCCTTAAACTCCGCTTGTGGAATCCCACTAGATAGAGAGTAAGATTTTCTTTAGGTTGGTGCACGGCATGAGTCAAAAGCAGGCAAGTATTGGCCAATATAATTATTATCATTCTCACGTTGAAAAAGTATGTTATCATTCCCAAAGAACTTCACCATAACGTACAATAATAGAGAACCACTTAGTAATATCTTTTTGTTTCTAATTCCTTCCTTGTTTAGGTTTGTTTTGTTTTGATCAGAACCTGAATTAACAGATAAGAAGTGAAGTAAAACTAAATGCACTTTAACTGTTTCTTAATATGGAAAAGCTCGGATGGTACGTAATTAAGCAGGAACTTGAGATCCTCTAAGAAAGTCAGTATAATATATGTATATGTTGTTAAGCCAAGATTATAGTTTCTTATAAATAATATTTGCTGGATCGGTGATGCAACTATATCTGAATAAATCATCAAGATCCACAAAATGAGGTGGGGACTTATTATATTTTTGTCAGAGGGCACCTCAAGTGTTTTTCCCCTTGTGTTAGTTTTGCAATTTGTTCGAAAACTAATACACAATTGCACAAGAGAAGGGTAAAGAACCATTAACATTCACAGTATAAATTGATGCAAATATATTATGCGGATAAGTTCCTACCATTTTCTTTTATGGAGTAGTATACACACGTAATATTTTAGAAATTTGTATTAAATACTGTTGCGTTTTTATTAAGGGGTGTGAATGGGAAATGGAAGAGGCACCTTTTAGATTGCACCTCTTCATATCACCCTTACTTTGTCTATAAATTTAGAGGCTTGGCCTCATTTTTTAAATATGAAATCAGACATGGAAAATCTGAAATCTTCTCCCCTCTTTTCTACATTGTTGCATTATTTTCTAAATAAACATAAGTGCCAAGTGTGATTTGCTCCGTTTGTTGAGTTCGCTGAAGTTCTGTGATTTGAAGTGGCACTATCACAGAATAGTTATTCCGTTCTATCCTGGGAGGAATTAATCCGTATACCTTGGGCAACAGTGAGGGGATTAAATTCCTTAAGGACACACTGTGTATTCAGTGGGCTCAGAATTATTTTACGTTTTGTTTATTGAACTAACGTTTGTTTTCTTTTCTGATTTTGAACACACTAATACCAACAGTCTTAAGGAATTTAATTTGTTTTCCATGTTTGTCTTAACATCTGGTTGTTGGAGCAAAAACCAAAATTAATCTGGACAGATTACTGTTAAGATGACTGCAGGAAAAGAAAAATGGAGTGGAAGTCGTTTGATTGTTATGGAGAAATAGCGAATCAAAGCTGTCCAAGATGGTCGATCCCTCTTGGATAATAATCTTTAATTGAACAAATTTGTTTTGTTTCAGAATGCTCATTATAAATAACATATGTTATTCATATGGATTGCTTGAAGATTCCAAAATGATGCCACCCACTACCATGTGTTGCTTTGGCATATTTGAAGTTACTGATTATATTAGGAGGAAGGAATGTCACACAGTGACAAAGTCCAACGTAACAAAGTTTCAGAATTTCCGGTGAAAAAAAAAAATACATATATGATGCAATCTGCTTAGTTGTTTATCTCTTAAACAATGGCAAAGGCACAGTTTGCTTAAATAGTGATGAAGTCAAAAGCGAAGAGTGAGATCATCACATACTCACAACAAGAGACTAATGAAAAGTCACGTTTTGACATGAAGAGTTGCAAAATATATTTACTCATCTCTGTAATGAGTAATAAAGAGGAAGAGCGCTGCTCTGTGAAGAATCATAAGGCGTGCAACTAAAGCACCAAACCAAACTCGCCTCTTTTGATCGGGCAAGCCCGGAAAATTTAAATGGCTATACAAAAATAGAACCCTATATCATGAAGCAGAAATTGGCTTCGTCTAGTTTTGTTCCAAAGATATACGGGTGATCACTTTCTGTACTTGAGAGATGGTCATAGCGTCAATTAATGGATCGAAAAGAGTTGAGATATACACAAGTGGCTCGATCTTTTTAAAGTGTTAAAGGGTTATAATGGTTTTGTTGAAAAAGAATCATTAGGAAAGGGAATTAAAATTCTCGTGATTTTCTACATCCGTTATGGAGCATAAAATCTTCGTGATTTTCTACTCCTGCTTCGAGATCAAAATCTGCGTGATTTGTACTCGTTCGTTGAGATTAAAATCTTCGTGACTTTCTACTCATTTGTCGAAAATTAAAGTCTAAGTGACTTTATACTCGTTTTGGAGATTAAAATCTTAGTCATTTTTTACTCCAATTTATTATTCGGTTTGAAGATTAAAAACTTCACCGTTTATTTGATCTAGTTTTATCAGATGTTACTCAGTTTGAAGATTAAAAACTTCACCGTTTATTAATTCTAAATGTGTCAGATTGGTTTGAAGATTAAAAACTTCACCATTTATTAATTCTGGCTATGTCGTGACACAAACAATAATTCTTGTGGTTGGCTCAACAACGTAATAGAGGCGTTGAATATGAATATCCTTTTGAAGAAATATGTTTGGAATATGAAATTATTCACCAAACGATCGCCCCTTAGTTACCGCATTCTAATAGAATTGCGGAAAGAAAGAATAGAACGTCAAAAGGAGACGATGAATGCCTAGTTGATAAGTTCTGGTTTACCCAAAACTTGTGGGGGAAGCTATGCTTACAGCTTACCGAATACTCATTCACGTTCCTCATAGCAAGACACATACCATTCCATATAAAAAAAAGTGGAAAGGAAGAAAATCCCACTTGAAATATTTCCAAGTGTGGGGGGTATTTTGGTAAAGTGCAAGTTCTTAAACCCAAAAGGATAAAAATTGGATCGAAATCTGTTGATTCCATTTTCATAAGATATGCAACAAATAGTAAGGCATATCGTTTTTTGATTCATAAATCAAAAAAATCCCGACATTCATATTAATACGGTAATCGAATCAGATAATATTGAATTCTTTGAGAATATTTATCCGTATAAAAAGGAATGTGAGTCGTCTAGTGAAATATCTAAACGAACTCGGGAAGAAGCAAAGGAAGTACGTTGAATTAGTAAAATCCAAGACGTAATAAACGTCAAAGGATAACTACTTTCTTTGGACCG